TTTTTTTTTTTTTTTTTTTTCAAAAGCCATTTAAGAAGCTGCAGTTACTTGCTGTCTTCTTCCCCACCCTCACTCCCACCCTCTTTTGGTCCAAGGCTAGTCCTAACCCATGGACCTGTTCCCTGAGGCAGGGATGTTTTGATGCTTAGTGTATTGTATCTCCATGGCTAGGTCAAAGGCAGTGGCAGTACTCCTACTGGTTGGAAGGCAGCTGGCTGTAATGTAAGCTACACAACCCGAGAGCCCACTCAGCAATAACATAAGCATTAACCGCTGACCCAAAGCGTGGTGAAATTTAATCCCACCGTTAGGAAAACATGAACATGAGATCCCCAAGGAAGGAAAGTTCAGATTGGGAACTTGGGGAGGAGGGCTAATCAACTGGTGAGGTAGAGGAAGAAGAGCTGTCCAGCTCTGCAATATTCTCTTTTAACCCTGCATGACCTACATTAACTCTAGCATGAACTTTGCATTCAGCACTTTGGTTTGGATCCATGCCGGAAGCGCTCTACAGTAATGATGAACTTGCCTAGTTTTACAGGTGTACTCATAAGGGTCTGCAGCTGTTTGTTTTTTTTTCCAGGTGCAGATTTTTCTAATCTTTACTTCTGCAGAACAAGGTGCGAAGGCTTACTTTTTCACATGTGGGTACCTAACCACTCACATCCTTGTTTTTAGACAGGTACTGGATGTCTGGGATTGTCAAAGGAACACAGAGAAGCTAGGTGCACAGGTTTCAGTTTAATTTTGTAAAAGATGGCCTGAGCAAGGCTTTTCAGGTTCTAAACTTTTTGCATGCATGTTGTATATCTGATCATCATCATGTGGGAGCTGAGGAAGTTGGTGTGGCCAGGGCTGGACTTTATTACTAATAGTACTTCATTGTTTTTCCCTCAGAACACTCTGACTGTGGAGGATCAATCTGCTTCTGACAGCAGCTTCACGCTAAACCCTGAGGACAGAAGAGAATATCCTGACCACCAGGCAGCACACCGCCCAATCCCCAAACAACGATTCAGGCAGGAAAATGGACACACATCCTTACAGAGAGATGGACCCAGATCGTTCCTTCTGGATCTCCCAAATTTTCCTGACCTATCAAAAGCTGATATTAATGGGCAAAACCCCAACATTCAGGTAGATTCATTAAGAATTCAGTATTTTGCATGCCAGGTAAAGTGATTTGAACTCAACCAAATCCAAATTTTGCTTCTAATTTATTCTAACATGTTGCCGTTACCAGTCTTGAATATGCATTACTCAGGTGCTAAACGGTAACATTGTTTTGACTAGAATCCATCTCTTTGAAAGTTTTCTGTATGCAGTTTGGGCTAAAATAATGGTGGTTACACCACAGCTCTGTACAGGGACAGCGTGAAGACAGAAAAGGCATGCTTTTGTTGGGGCTGATCCTTATCTTATGGGTAAGGAGATCAAAACCACCACCTTCCATTAAGATGGAGCTGATGGCCTTCCCTCTGTGCACCCGCCCCATTTCACCAGCTCTTGCTAAGCACTTCTCACCCCCTTTCAGTTTGCTTTTTCCATGCAAAGAAGTTGGGAGGACTTTTTTGGTTGTGTGCCTCTCTCTACTTAGCTCCAAAGAGAACACAGCTGTTCAGCTTTAAACAATAAGGAAGGAGAACTTGTTCCATAACAAAAGCTGAACAGTTTACTTAATTTGCAGCAATTGATAAGTAAAATAGCCCAATATGTTGTACTTGAATAGTCTTGACATAATGTTCAGCTATTTGACAGTGAATGGTATTCTTCCTGTTTCGTATTTTAAGGGCAACAGCAACTGATGAGTTTCTTTGGCCAGTAATCTGGACATCTTTCAATAAAAGGCCTTTGGACCAAATATAAGCAGGCCTTTTATTGGAGTGCTTTTGAATCTTTAAATCTTATCTTTACAGTATCCCTGAGGTAGGAAAGAGCTGTTATCCTCATTTTTCAGTTTAGGCACAAAGCACAGATTCTCAAAGCTGGTGCCCAGCTCCCATTTACTAAAATAACTGGAAGTTGATTTCAGGATTTGACCCTAAATTGTTTGTACAAGGTGACACAGGGGTGTTTTGTGGTTGAGCTGAAATTTTAAATCCAGGTCTTCCATACCGCAGACTAGTGCTCTAACCTCTGTCCACACTGTCAGAAATGGAAAAAATGCAATAAGACAAACAGCATAAGAAGGCTGCATGGGAATTAACTTTTCCAAAAAATAAAATTATTACTATTACTTGCATTCTGGTTATTTTATGGGTCCCTTTGCTGCATGTTGGTTCCTGCAGATTCTTTTTATGTTTGAATCATAGGCAGTTGAAATGGAAGTGTCAGACTTCTAAAATTGGTGCTGAAATCTGTGGGTCACATCATCTGCTTCCCTTAAGGGTTTTGGAAACCATTTGGTTGGCAGATTACTTGTCAGAACTTCATTGAGGCTGAAAGTATGAATGCTTCTTGCAGCATGTAGAGCAGTGATTCTTGAGCAAGATGTTGTGACGCTCTGGAATGCCTTGAGAACCTTTCAGGAGTGCTGTGTAGAGGTACACCAATACATCGGTACCAATATAAAGAAAATGGACTGTATTGGAAATCAGGCTGATGTGACTGATTTAATTTGGCCAATAAATGCCCATGCATGTGCACAGCCACAGTTCAGCATATAGGCAGTGAGGAGCCCAGTCCAGCAGCTTGGAGAGCTGCATTCAGCTGGTAAGTCAGTTGTAGTGAAAGGGAAGGGGCATGGGGGGTGGGGCCCACAGGACTGAGCCACAGCTTGTCCAGGGGACGAGTCAGCTTGTGCTGCTGCATGCACCCCAGGAGGGCATGGTGGGGGGAAGCATGTACTCCCAGATCTGCATGGGGCAGGGCGGGCTGGGGCTGCGCTGGGCTGTTCCCGGCACATGGGGTTGGGGGGTTGGGCTGGGCTGGGCTGGGCTGGACTTGGGGCAGACAGTGGCAGTGCTGGGAGAAGGGGCTACGAGGGAGCTATGGCAAATATTGGGGTGGCTGCAGCCCCCCTCCTAGTGCCGCTGCCGCCTACCCCAA